CCCTTTCCTTTCAGAGGTCTCCCTAGAAGCAGACATCTACCGAGATGGACAGCTGGACATGCCAAGTGACAAGCAGGCTAAGGTGAGGCTTGCCTGGTCGAGGGAGCAAAGCAGGACCTTAGGGAGCCCTCTCTGACCCTCAGGCCTATTTTTATCTGACCTCCAGGGTGTCTTTAAGTTTTATTGCTACACAAGTCAAGGTCAATAAAATCGATTTCTGACTTACTGAAAAGTAGCCAGGTGTGGTGGGAATGTGCCTTTCCAGCATCCACGATGTAAAGCAGAAGCATCAGGCATTGAAGGTCATTCTTGGGAATTCCAAGCTAGCCTGGGCTATAGTAGATCCTGTCTCAGAATAAAACAAAGCCAGATGTGGTGGCCCCTGCCTGTCAAAGGCAGGATGGTGAGTTTGATGCCATCCTAGGCTTACATATCAAGACCTTTTCTTAAAACAAAATCAAAATAGGCAGGTGTCCAGAGGCACAGGCCTGCTTATGTAGCCACTAGAGCAGGTTAGCTTTGCCACCCCTGGACCTCTGGGGGGGGACACATCTCTTGTAGCATGCCTCTGTCTCTGCATTCCTGAAACCTGCGTTCAGCTTCCACTCACCCAGTCCTCATCCTCAAAGTCTGTCCCCTGGGTCCCCAGGACTGTGAGGACAAAGCTCTGCATGTGAGAAGCAGAGGGTGTGTTTGTCTCTTTCCTGCCTCAATGTCCCTGTCCTTTGCAGAAAAGATGGGTGTGGGGCCCGAATGGCTGGGGAGCCATCCTGCTTGTCAACTGTAATCCTGGCGAAAGAGGCGAGTCTGAAAAGACCAGTGATCAGGACAAGTGCAAAGGTACACCCTTCCGACGTCCCCACCTCTGCCAAGCTCTGGCCATTCCTTAGCACACATGCAGGTCACAGCCAATTCCTCAGATTAATCAAGTCTCTTTTCATAGGTTGGGAGTGTATTATTCCACAGACGAGCATTTGCCTAACATGTACAAAGACCCTGGGTGACATTGCTGTTATACCAAAGGGTTTTATGCCTTGAAGCTGTATGAGAGGCCACATGGTTTCATACAAAGATGTGTACAGCTTTTAAAAGAAGTATTCATAAGCCAGGCGTGGTGGCACACTCCTTTAATCCCAGCACTTGGGAGGCAGAAGCAGGCAGATCTGAGTTCAAGGCCATCCTGGTCTAGAGTGAGCTCCAGGCCAGTCAGAGCTACACAGGGAAACCCTGTCTCAAAAAATTGATTCATTGCATATGTGTGTATGTTGGAGTCCTTGAAGTCGGAGGACAACAGATCTCCTGGAACTGGAATTTACAATTGGTTGTAAGCTACTTGAAATGGATGCTAGGAGCCAAACCCAGATCCTTTGGAAGAGTAGCAAGTGCTCTTAACCACAAAGGCAACTTTCCAGGTCCTCGGCATGTGTTTTGAGACAAAGATCTCATGTAGCCCAGGCTGGCCTTGGACTTCTGATTATCGTGTCTACCTCCTGTGAGAATTACAAATGTTTCACCACACCATTTATATATAGTGCTAGGGACTGGACACTGAGGCTTTGTGCATGCTAGGCAAACACTATCAGCTAAGCTACATCCTCAGTCCCCATGAAAAGTCTTAATCGGACAACCCATTACTTCCTGGCTATGAATGAGCCTCATTTTGCCAGGGGATGGGGGGGCCGGGTAGAGATGAGATGTTGACCTCCCAAGATGGTGAGAACTCCTGATCCCATAAAAGGGGTGTGGGAACCTCTCTATAGTGAGCAGGAGGTGCCTTCAGGCTGGGGACCCTAGAGCATCCCAGGAGTCAGAGGACCTCGGATAAGCCTTCAAGCCAGACATGATAGCTCACACCTGTCATGCCAGCACCTGGGAGGCTGAGGCAGGGGAATCGCTGTGCTCAGCCAGCCTGGACTACTAAGCGAGACTCAATGCAACTTGGCCCTTATCCCTGCTGCTCACTTTCCTGTCCCAGAGCCTGGCCTGCCTGAGCCTGTGTCCATCCTTGGTCCAGCAATACAGAACCTCTCTCCAATGACACTGACTGTGGAGGGCCCACAAGCTGTCCTTAAGAACTACTGTCTGATCCTCCATACTTCCAAGGAAGAGGCGAGCAAGGCAAAAGTCTACTTGCTCCAGAGTAAGTCCCAGCCCTATACCACCTTTAACAGGGTGCCCAGAATCTAGAGTTGCAGGTCACAGGCTGTGTGGCCAGATCTATGTTGCAGGGACTGTCTGGCTGCCACCTTTACCAGACAGTTAATTTATATATACTACCATGGGTTAGCCAATCCATCTAGATATGGGGATGATGGTGCCTAGCTTCAGGATTCTCTTAGCTGGAAATGGAGAAACACATTTGAACTGATGGAGATATTTATAAGGCATCCCAAGTAACTCCTGCTAGGAGGATCTATCTTTGAAAAACTTAAATTTGTGTGGGGGTGTCTTGCCTACATGTATGTCTATGCACTGTGTGTGCCTGGTGATTAGGGGTCCACAAGAGGGTGTGAGGTTCTCTGGAACTGGAGTTAGATGGTTGTGAGCCTGCAATGTGAGTGCTGGAAATCTAACCCGGGTCTTCTGGAAGGAGTGTCCAATGCTCTTAACCACTGAGCCATCTCTCTAGTCTGGAACCACCTTAACACAAGACCCCCATTATAGTAAACCTTTGGAATCAAGTGGCTCAGAAGCTGGAGTGACAGTCATCAGGGTACACCCATGTGGTACCCTGTCCCCTGCTCACTCCCCAGCAGGCAAGTGGCATGTGCTGTTTGCTGTCCAGGTTGATCAAAGGCCTGGGGAAAAGGTTCAAGTGGCTTGGGGTGGGAGTCGGGGGTGTTGGTTTTTTCCCATGACTGGGACCTGGTTTAATTGGGAGTGGTAAGAGGACCCAGGTGGTTATTGACACCAGGGAGAAGCTTGGCAGCTCAGCTGATTTGGAGTCTAGCTACTATAGAGACCACCTGATGTGTGACCAGCCACCTTCAGGGTCTCTCCTGTGGTTTACAGGACCTAAAACTCAAATCAGCTTCATGGTAATGGTGGCAGGGCTCACGCTCTAGGTGCCTCCTGAGATGTCTGGAGGGGTCATAGATCCATTATGTGGATGGCCAACATCTGGTGGGGTTAAGCACATCTCTGCATGCTGAATGTCTCAACCTTTAGGGACTCCTACAATTCTTCCCAAAGGTTAGATTTGTGAGTTCAAGTAGACACCCTACCTCATTAAAAGTGAGCACCACCTGAGCATGGGCTCTCGAGCTGAGTCCTGACTTCTGATGTGTTTGTCCTAAGCCTTCAAAAGGATGTTGGTGCTGAGGCTGGGGAGATAACTCGGTCAGTAAAGCGCTTGTAATCATGAATTATGAGTTCAGATGCCAGCACACATCTAGGTGAGGTGTGGCTTGCATCTGGAACCCCACAGCTGGGGGAGGTGGCTGACAGAATCTTGGGGACTTGACCAGCCACTTTAGTTGAATTGATAAGGTCCTGTTTCAGTGAAGGAGACCTTGTCTCAAGTAAGGTTATTGAGGATGCCTATGTCAGCCTCTGGTCTCGACATGCATGTGCACACACTTGTAAATACAGTTTGGTGCATTAAGTGACCCTTAACAGTGCTGGCGATCTCAGAGCCCTCGGCTCTGATGTTGAGAATGGATCATAAGCCTGCTGTGTTTGCCCACCTGGAAAACCGCTAGCAGCTCCAGCTGCCACTCACCCCCTTCTCTCTCCTAGAAGGTACCGCCACCAGTACCTATGAACTGGTAATAGGACCTGGCAAGCCTGACCATGTCCTGGCTCCCTTTGAGAACCGAGGGAAAGAGACCTTCTACATAGAGGCCATAGAGTTCCCATCTGCCAACTTCACAGGCCTGATTTCTTTCTCCGTCTCCCTAGTGGAAAAGTCTTATGACCAAGTATGTCCCTGGGTCAGGGAGGATCCTTGGGCTTGGTGGAGGGAAGAGCTATGGGTGCTAGGCAGGACACCCACGTACGGCTCTCAGTACAGCTGGGGGGGGGCGGTCCAGAAAGCTGTGGAAGGTAGTGGGCTCTAGTGATGGGTTAAGATGAACAGCTGCAGACCCCAGGGGGTGCTAGGGAGAAAGGGGGCAGATGGAGCCAGGTCTCCATGGAGACCTGTCATACATTGCAGTTGATCCCGGAGGTGCCGCTCTACAAAGACACAGTGATGTTCCGGGTTGCTCCTTACATCTTTACTCCCAGCACCCAGATGCCTCTCGAGCTTTACCTGTGCAGGTAAGAGTTCTGAGGCCACCTGGGGAGGGTGTCTCACTAGCATCCTCTTCTGTCCGTGCTGGCCGGGAGACCCAAGAAATAAGGTCTTTGGAGAGTTGCATAGGATGTCAACAAAAACACTGGGTCTGGGACTGGACTAGAATCCTGGTGAGGACACTTTCCAATTGTGACTGGCTGGTACCATCAACTCTTGAGGGTCCAGTTATTAAATTGGATGTCTTGACATCATCTTCAAATGTCACTTTGTGCCCAAGGAAAGGATGTCCACTGTAGATCCACAAGTGTTGGTGTTCTCGATGAAAACTAAAATCCCAAGTTTTTCCAAGTGTGGTGTGGGGCACACCTTGAACCCCAGCACTCGGGTGACAGAGGTCAAGTCTGAGTTTGGAGCCAGCCTGGTCTGCAAAGCAAGTTCCAGGACACTGTAGTAATAAGACTTTGTCTCCCCCCCAAAAAAAAAAAAAACCACACACACACAAAACCTAACCCAGGTGTCCAGATGTCCCCCCCATCCCCACGCCCCACAGATAGATGACCTCATTGGCCATCTTGAGCTAGTTTCTAGCAGTCCTCATGGGGAGCAAACAGTCATCCAATGGTTTGGGTAGAGGACCCCATACAAGGATATAATAGCTTGTGTGTGCGCACAGGTGATCAAAAGGTGTGAACAGGCTTGGACTGCCAGTAGTTGCCAGCATAGTCTAGGCAGAAAAAGTCCAAGCCAGTGACCTACACTGCGGTGGGGATGGGGGGGCAGCGGCTCAGTTTACCTCACGGGCAGAATGTGGTCCTCTCCCTTGCCTTGCCCCTGGGGCCTGGAGTGGGACTGTTGCGAGGACCCTGAGGAAATCGCGGTGGGCTTCTCTCTCGTGGCAGGGCGCTGCAGCTGCAGGGCTTTGTGGACACAGTGATCAGACTGAGTGAGAAGAGCAACGTGCAGGTGGCATCTGTGTATGAGGACCCCAACCGCCAGGGCAAATGGCTGCAGGTAACTGACACCCCGACCTGGGGTGCTCCAGCTGTGGAGGAACGGCAGAGGGGCTGGACACCTGCCACAAGATGATCTTAACACAGTGAGCCGGCCAGGCTTGTCAGATCAGTCTAGTCCCCCCTCCTTCCAGGTGCCAGGCGCGTTTCGAGGTCAGTTGGAGACCTCGGTTGCAGGTGTTGGAGCTGGGCTGTGAGTCTGGGCTTGTGTCTGGCCTAATGGCAGAGCCGGAGCTGGCTTGGCTCTGGTTCCGGAGAATCCTTCCGTTCCAAGCACATCTGAGCACTTACTAGAGGCTGTGGTACCAGCAGGGGCTAGGGATGAGTGAGGACAGGTACCCTCCGGCCAGGCCCCAGCTACACGCGAAGCTGTCTCAAAAGACACCCCGCCCCCATCTACACACCAAAAAACTCTTCAGCTGAGATGCAGGGAAGTTTGGGTGGGTGGGGACCTGGCTAGAAGGCATCACAGGGTAGGACAGAGAGCATGGTGACTGCTTGTAGGTACCAGAAACAATTGATTTGCTTTGAAAGTAGAGTTTGAGAAGACCTGTCAATGGGGGGGTGGGGGGTGGAATTCTCAGCCTTAAACTGGAAGGTGGGATGTGTTGGGCAAAGCCTCTGGGGGAAGGTTTTGAGGTCCGAGCAGGAGCTGACCAGGCTTCTCTCGGGCTGTTCCCAGGGAATAGTGTAGCTGATGAAGAAAATTAACTACCATCTTTGTCTGCCCCAGGATGAAATGGCTTTCTGCTACACTCAGGCTCCTCACAAGACGGTGTCCTTGATTTTTGACACCCCTCGGGTTTCCAATATGGAAGAGTTCCCCATAAAATACTCACTGGTGAGGAGCTGGGCTGTGTTCTGATTATAGTGAACCTCTAAGGCCCGGGGTTGAGCCGGGAAGATGGGGTGCTGGGGGCAGGGGTCCCAGGTGGCCTCTGGGGAAGAGGGGGGATAGATGTGCATGTTCCTGCCAGTCGGGAGTGAGATGAGGCCTACATCCAGTTCTTCCTATGTAACCCTCTTCCCCATTGGGTGGTCTCCTAGAGCCCTGGCGTTGGCTACCTGACCCACCACACCGAAGACCACGGAGTGGCTAGCCTGGATTCCATCGGGAACCTGATCGTATCCCCACCAGTCAAGGCTCAAGGCAAAGACTACCCACTAGGCAGGGTCCTCATTGGTGGCAGCTTTTACCCCAGGTGAGCTAGACCAGCTGGCAGGTGGCGAGCCGTCTTAAAGGAAAACGACTGTCAGTCTGGTCGCAGAAATTCTCCGTTCCCCTCAGCACGCTGCTCTGCATCCTTTGTGACACTGAAGGGTCCTTGAGCCTTTGGTTCGGGTTAGACTGGAGTTAGCTCCGCCTCCAAGCTTGCTTTCTCTAAGGATGTGGCACAGCTGGCGAGCTTACCTAGCAAGCAGGAGGCCCTGGGTTTAGTTCTATCCCTGACTCCTGCCTCTGTGGATTTGAGAGTAGCCTGAGCTACATGGGACCCTGTCTCAAAGTAAAAACTTCCCCCCCAAAAAAAACCAAACAAACTTTGATTTCCTGGGTTTAAACCAACTAGGTTGTTAAACTGTTAGTCCCCAAAACATGATGTATACAGAACCTGGGTTTGGGTTGGCGATCTTAACTCGAAAACCAGGTGATCCTGTAGTCCAGGGCTCAGCCAATTAGGATTACGTGATCTGCGCTTGAGCTAGGTCACAGTAAGGGCTACTACAAACACACACCCCTCTCTAAGTTTTGTGTGGGTGAGTGCCACGGCACACGTTGCGACCAGGACAACCTGTAGCAATCGGTTCTCTATGTGGGTCCTAGGGATTCAATCCAGGTCCCCAGGCTTGGTGACAAGTGCTCTTCTCTACTGAGCCAATTCCTTGGCACAGAGTAAGGAATCTGCCCCGCTACCTATTGGCAAAAGCAGTTCATAGCCTGGAGATGGCCCGATTCTCAGTGTATGGTGGGCAGCTACTCGAGGCCACAGCATCTCAAAGGCTGCTCGCGCTCTCTCTTCCAGCTCCGAGGGCCGGGACATGAGCAAGGCCCTGCGTGACTTCGTGTATGCCCAGCAGGTGCAGGCCCCTGTGGAACTCTTCTCAGACTGGTTGATGACGGGCCACATGGATGAGTTCATGTGCTTTGTCCCTGTAAATGACAAATATGACGAGGGCAAGGTTTGTGTTGGGGCTGGAGAAGGTGTCTGCTGGAGACCCCAGGGGCCCCGGCACAGCAGGTGACTCTGGTCTCCTTTCCCAGGGCTTCCGCCTCCTGCTGGCCAGCCCCAGTGCCTGCTACGAGCTGTTTGAACAGAAGCAGAAGGAAGGCTATGGGGACGCGAACCTGTTTGATGAGGTCAGACCAGACCAGCTCATTTCTAATGGTAAAGCGGCTTTTCTTCACCTAGGGCCCTTTTGGTTTTTCGAGATGGTTTCTCTGTGTAACAGCCCTGGCTGTCCTGGAACTTCACTCTGTAGGCCAGGCTGGCCTCAAACTCCGATCTTCCTGTCTCTGCCTCCTGAGTGCTGGGATTAAAAGCGTAAGCCATCACCGCCTGGCCACCTAGTACCTTCTTGAGCAGTTCCCAACTTGTGAGTAGAGACCCGGGGTAGGGGCGGTGGTGGGGTTTGAAAAACACTTTCACAGAAGTCGAATATCAGATAGCCTGCATATCAGATATTTACATTATGAATCCTAATGGTAGCCAAATTACAGTTATGAAGTAGCTAGAAAAATTAGTTACGAAGTAGCCATGAAATACTTTTGTGGTCAGGGATCACCACAACATGAGGAATGTATTAGAAGAGCACATCAGCATTGGGAAGATTGAGGACCACTGGTCTTCAATCACCACCCTTGGTAGAGAGGGCCCAGGAAATCCTAGGAGGTGGGGGATGGCCATTGTTGGGACACCTCACACCAGGAGGGGGGCACCCTACTATCCAGGCAGACCTGAGGTTCCAGGCTGCAGTGAAGTAGCTCCATTGGCCCCAACTGGTGATGCTGTATGACCTCCATGAGGGGCCACAGGCTTTAGTGGCCCTGACACTTCAGGTCTCCCTTAAGGAGGAAACACAGGGGGACCGGCAAAGGTGCGCCCCAGGCCACCTTCTGCCCTAAACACGAGAGAAACACGAAGGGACTGACTGTCTCCAGTAAGGTGGGGTCGTCGGGACGGTCTCTCGACCTGGGTTAGAGACTCGGGGTACCACCCCCATCCTGAGCAACGTTCTGTGGTAAGGTCCAGGAACACCTTCTTGTCACAGGGTTGAGAGGTCATGGGATACATACTAGAAAGCAAAGGTGGTGTCACTTCTGGGCTGGAACCTGAGGGAGCAGAGTTAAAGCTGTTGACCACAGCTGAGGCTCCTGGTACCCACGTAGGGGGTAGCGCAGCACAGCTGTGCAGAGTTGGTGTCCAGCTGAGCCGAGTCGGGGCTGATCTCACCACACTGAAGTACTGAGCTGGCTAGGGGCAGTAGATCCTGCCTGGGTTTTCTGGTGTTTTGTATCTTGGCCAGCACCAGATGTAAGACAACTAGACCCAGGTGTGGTCCCTGAGACTGACAGTACAGTCACCGGTCTGAGGATGCCCCAGTGGCTGAGTCACGCTGGGCATTGATCTGCCCCCTGCCTGGCCTCTTTTGCTTCCCACAGGGAGGGAGTCCAGAACCATCTCTCAAGTCCTGGCTGATGAGAACTTGCGAAAGCAGAATGATTATGTGGAGGTAAAGGCCTGAGATAGGAGACTGTCCCCAAGAAGGTGCTGATCCTACTGGGGGTGCCAGCCCCAGATACAGATTTCAGGGGTGCAGTGGGGTGCTCTGTTCACTGGGTCTTGACTGCTCTTAGACCAAGAACATCCAATGCCACAGTACACTGGTGCCCTGGTCTCTGCAGAAGCCGCTGAGGGCCACTTGCCCTGGCAGGGTGGGTATGAGTCCAGGGCAGGTGGTTTGATCTCTTTCAAGATGGAGCTGGAAACCAAGGGTGCAGGGAAGTGTCCGAGGCAGGTGTGCCGAGTCGGCAGGAGTGGCTGCTTAGATCTGAGGGAAGGACCTGAAGACTTCTGGGTGCCCCTGCCCCACTCTGCGCATGTGCTTCCTCTCCCCTCCCCCACCCCTGCCCCCCTGAAGGACTAGTGGCCACCCAGCACCCCAGCTTTTTCTCTGAATGCACTTGACCTTAGGACTACTATACTATGTGGGAAGGAAAGGCTCGCATGGCCCACCAGGGCTCCTAGCTCATGGGATCTGAGCCAGATAGAAGCTGCTCCAAGGTCTCTTCTGGATTTGTGTAGAAACAAACAGGAAGGCTCAGCTCCTTCCTGATGATGATGTTCGCATCCCTGCCGTCTCTCCCTGCCTTCCCTGTGGTACAGAAATGCATTAGCCTGAACCGCACCCTCCTAAAGAAGGAACTGGGCCTGACGGACAAAGACATCATTGCCATCCCACAGCTCTTCTGCCTGGAGATGCTGACAAACATCCCCTCCGGCCAAAACTTCACAAAACACTTTGCACGGCCGTACTTCCCTGACATGGTGAGGGTCACTGGGCATGCCTGGTTCCAACAGTCTGCTTGGCCTTGCAGACCAGGGTGCTGGATGGTATCAGATGGGTGTGGCCTGAAATGGCAGCCTGATGTAGTCCCCAGGTTCAGGTGCATAGCACTAAAGCTGCCATGAAAGGGTTAAAGATGGGGGGGGCGGGTGTCAATGAACAAAGCTGAGCATGATAGTCTGGGATTGCTGGAGCCCCCTGGGTCTCAAAGCTGGCAGGGATAGGGTATGCAGACAAAGCCAGAGCAACAAATGCAGAGAGACAAAAATATGGTAAGCCACCAAGGTTAGCTGCTGGTCAGAATTCATGTTTTTCAGAGAAACATTGGCAGGCACTAGAAAACTAAGCAAAAATATTGATTTCACTGAGATTGATTGATACCTGCATGGACACAGGCTTAGGTTTGGCCAACCTTAAGGAGTGATGTGTGGGTTTTCCCTGTATCTAATTCTATATGCCACCCCACCTCCAGGATGGTCAGGGAAAGCTTTCCAGGGCTCAGATCCTGCCTGACCCTAGTTCTGTCTTAACAGCTGCAGATGATTGTGTTGGGCAGGAATCTAGGGATCCCCAAGCCCTTTGGGCCCCTAATCAAGGGCACCTGCTGCCTGGAAGAGCGAGTCTGTAACTTACTGGAGCCTCTGGGTCTCAAGTGCACCTTCATTGATGACTTCGAGTGCTACCTGACCAACATGGGAGACACCTGTGCCTGCGTTGTTATCCACCGGGTGCCGTTTGCATTCAAGTGGTGGAAGATGATCCCTTAAACCCTGGGCCCCGGGGCTGCCGGCTCTGCCCCAGAGTCGACGGCCTTTGTGATTCCTGGTGCACTGGGTTGAAGGGGGATGGGGAGCTGGAACGGTCTTTAGACAAACCTAACTGCAGAGGAAATAAAATAAGGTGTTCTGAATGCATCTTACAGAATCTGCCTCACTTTGGAGAAGGAAGGGGCTTCTGAGGGGGCTTGCGCCACTTGGATGGGGATGCGGCCCCCAGTCCCTGTTCCTTCTGAGTTTATAAAGGGAAACACAGCTGGACTTAGCCAAATGCTTTGGATTGAAGCAGCTAAACCCCACAATCTTTTTTGTTTTTTTGTTTTGTTTTTTCGAGACAGGGTTTCTCTGTGTAGCTTTGTGCCTTTCCTGGAACTCACTTGGTAGCCCAGGCTGGCCTCGAACTCACAGAGATCCGCCTGCCTCTGCCTCCCCAAGTGCTGGGATTAAAGGTGTGCGCCACCACTGCCTGGCCTAAACCACACATCTAGACTCCGGGCTGGAGGAAGGAGAAGGGGGCCTTAACATCTGGACTGCTCTAGAAGAGACCAGCTTCAGTGGGGTCGGCACCCTGCTGGTGGCAGCTGGCCCCAACAGATGGACGCTGGCTTTCCTCATCTGTCCAGTGGCATGAGGGATGAAGAGCTGCGTCAGCCTGTACAGGCTCCCAAATCCTGCAGTCCCCACTCAAGTGTCCTGTCTCACTGCCTCTGTCAAGGGCAGACAGCAGAGGGGTTCAGAGGTCTGGTATCCTCTGGGGCTCTCGCTGTGCTCAGGATCGGGCCCCTTGAGACCTTGGCAAACCTGAAGAGTGGTTCTCATCCCATGTGAGTTGGGGGCAGAGCTGGGTCTGGAGCCAGCAATGACCCCCACACTCCCAAGGGTTGTGTAGGTAGCATGGGTATGTGACCTTGCTTGTCTGATGGAGCAGTTGGGAGCAGGGCCTTACCCCAGGCTGGCCTGAAGCTTCCTGCCCTGCATCACTGTCCTCCAGTGTAGGTGTGACTGAACAGCTGTGACCTGGGGCTGCCACTTGGTGACCTCAACCTATTAAGGGGGCGGGGGGAGGGGGGACGGACTCAACTGTCCCACAGATCGGCTCAGGGCTAGGTATGGATTTGAATTTGCCAGCTGTTCTGGTCTTGGTGACAGTTTATCTTGCCCAATTTGTATCCACTGAATCCAAGTTTACAGCTGACACTACAACAGAGGACTTTGTGGCCGTGGCCCCTACTCAAGACCGTAACTCCTGAAGTTGAGGTGGTGGGTCTGAGGATAAAGGCTCCCCTAAGTCTACTTGCATTTCCAGATGGTTGGTTGAAGATTCATCTCTAGAGTCAGGGAAGGCCTGAGCCCAGGAAGGGGGCGGATAGCACTTGCCTGCCCTGGCAAACTTCTTTCCTGGGGGGACTCTACCTCTAAGGTCCCTGACCAAACTTGCAGGCCTCCCAGGAGCCCTGGTGGGCTCAGCTTGGCTGTTGACCCCCAGACTCCAGCAGCATAGTCTCTGGTACATCTGCTAGAAGCCATCTACCATGGCCTGCCTCTCGGACGCCTACAGAAGTGGATTCTCAAAGCTGGACACAAGAGTTCCCTGAGAGAGGTCTCCCGGTTCCTAAGAGATACCTCAGGTCTGGCTTATGAATGGCCAGTTCTGACAAGGCCAATGATTACTTGGCATCATACATGTTCTTAGTCAAGAAACGCACCTGCCTAAAGGTTCCATGCCAAGTCCTCACCAGATGCAGGGGTGGGAACTGAGGAGGACTCAGGCTGGCTACAAGACCCTAGAAGGAACCCAGTTCAGTGACTCCTCCAGGCAGGGAGATCATCCCAAGACCCACTGTGCCCTGAACCTATAGTTCTCATGGTCCATCTACAACTTGGGACTCCACTGCTCAACTTAAGGGTGGCGTGGATGAGAAAGTTGAGGTTGATAATCCAAAACCACTTATGTGACCCCCTGCCCCACCTCTGGAAGGCTTTTTTTTTTTTTTTTAATTAGAGTCTCATGTTGCCCAGTCCAGCCTTGAACTCCCTAAATGCCAAAAATGACCTTGAGGGCAGCTGAGATGGCTCAGCAGGTCAATCTTAAATTTGGTCCCTGGGCCCCACAAGTGGAACAAGATTCCCACATCATCATGGGTTATTCTACATGTATGTAGGCGCAAACGTAAACACTCTGAAATCCTGATCTTCTTGCCTCTGCCTTCCAAGTGCTAGCATGTATGTGACTATGGCTAACAGTGGAAATGTAGCCGGGCGGTGATGGCACACGCCTTAAATCCTAGCACTCAGGAGGCAGAGGCAGGTGGATTCCTATGAGTTGGAGGCCAGGTCTACAAAAGAGTTCCAGGGCCGGAGCTGTTACACAGAGAAACCCTGTCTCAGAAGACCTACCAAACGGTGGGAATGTAACAGTGCTCCGGCGTGCTGAACAAACACTCCAACTCAATGACAGGCCTAGGAAAACCTATTAGATGGCACCAGGCCCAGGCCTCGGGACTCCCGCCTTCCTGGAGACATTTAGGGAAGGGCTGGAGCAGTGTGTGGTTAAGAGCACAGGCTGCTCTTCCAGAGGACCCAGATTTGAGTCTCAGCACCCACATGGTGGCTTACGTCTAATTCTAGTTCCAGGGGCTCCATCTTCGGGGCTCTGGGCATGAAGTTTTCACCCATACATATAGTAATGATTTTAAGCTTAGATTGTCTTTGCCCACCTCTGCTGACCCTGGCTCCTACTCCAATGCCTGGACTCCAAAGCTATTGCCTCTCTGTCTAGTGACTGGACAAGGCTGTTCCGTAGGCCTCTCCAACACTGCAGTCCACTGGGAACACCTCCCTTCCCAACGGGCAAGTGTGTGACGGCAGTCATCTGGGGCCCGTGTGTCCTCAGCCTAAGAAGATCCCGTGACAGGACGGCTCAGGAGGCTGCTGGCCTCTCTAGACAGCTTCACCACCAGCAATCAGCATGGCCTGCACCAGGTCAGCTTGTAAAAGGTCAGGTTGGGGTCTCTTCAGCTCTGCAGCGAAAGCCTTTCCCAGAGGGTGGCCGGGGGAAGTGACTACAGCCTTTCATCAGAGGTCTCAGCACAGGTCTCCCCAGCATCGGCCCCCTTCCCTGTGACCAAGCTCATCACATGACCATAACTCCTTTCCTCTCTAAAGCAGGAACCTAACCTTGGTGCACACTGCAGTGACAGCCAGGATGTGTGGGGGGCCAAGGGACCTCAGTCCAAACAGTCCTGTGCCCAGACAAAAGGCTGACCTCTCAGTGCCCCCTGGTGGGCAACTGGCCAAAATGACATGGCCAGGTACCCTCAGATCTCTTGTGAAGTTTGGGGGTGCTCTGAGTTAAGGCAGGGTTTTGTTCTGATAGACCCCTCATAGGGCTAGGGTGGATGAAACTTGCTGTGAGAATGCTTGCCCATCTAGGTGTGATCCCCAGGACCAAAACCCAAAAAAGTCCAAGTCAAAAGCATCTTAGGTCAACATTTGAGTGAGTGTGGTGACTTCACACCTTTACTCCCAGCACCTGGAAAGCAAAGGCAGGTGGATCTGGGTTCAAGGCCAACCTAGTGTACACAGCAAATCCCAGGCCAGAGATGGCTACATAGTGAGACCCTGTCTAAACAAGTCACCAAAAACCAAACCCACATCACACCCAACCCCAAGGACAGCAACAGGTAGCCCCCTGCATGCTCAGCATGCTCCCACTAACTAAGCGCTGGGCTAACTTCACCGTGAGGGTTGACATGTCTCACATATGCTGGGCACTGGGAAGGTGGGAGCAGGAAGCCAGCTTGAGCTCCATGAGACCATGTCCCACCCACAAAACTGAGCTGGGTCGGAACCTCTGTAGCCACTCCTGGTAAGGAAGCCTCTGGCCGTTGTCAACATTGGACTTCACTTCAGCATCATCCCTTAGGGCATCATGACTCTGCACTTCTCTAGGCCAGAATGGCTCAAGAAGCTTCCTAGGGGTTTTCACCCTCTTTAGACCTTAAAAAATCATTATGTAGTGTTCTGCCCGCATACACCCCTGCACACCAGAAGAGGGCACCAGATCTCATTACAGATGGTAGTGAGCCACCATGTGGGGGCTGGGAATTGAACTCAGGACCTCTGGAAGAGTAGCCAGTACTCTTTGGACACTTAAGGGGCACGTGCACAGGGCTGAGGATGCGGTCCATGCTACTGAAGAGGAAACACGAGAGCCGAGGCAGAGTAAACAATGATGCCGTTTATTTAAAATGTTTACTCCAAGAAATATATATATAAAAAAAAATAAGACAATTAACAGCACTAAACCAGGCACCTTCAACCAAATCACATCATCCTCGCTTGTTCCCTTCATGCTACCTTCTTGTTGATGACCGGAAGACTTAGGAGCCCACGGGCGGCCAGAGCCGTTTCCACCCAGGGCTTCCCACCATCCCCCTGTTCTAAAGGCGTTTCCCAGTGGAAAAGCTCAGGTGGACATTTTAGCCTAAAGGAAGGGGTTGTGGCTGGGCTCAAGGGTCTCTCCCTAGAAGCTATTTTAACTCACTCCCCCCTCCCCCTCCCCCCTGCTCTATCCAGAGGGGCTGACTGCTGGGTTTAGTTTGCTCCCTAGAAAGATGAGCCCAGCTCAGCTCAGGCGTCCTCAGCCCTCTTGGTGACCACACAACTCCAGGACAGAAGGAGCAGACACTGAGCGTCACTAGGCAGAGACCAGGGAGGGCTCAGGCGGCACATGGAAGGAGGGGTGGTGTCTGGGGTGACCTGGACAAAGCAGGTTAGTTTTGCAGAAGCATTGCCACTGTGGAAGCTTGTCCCCGGACTGACTATAGTCGGACACACGATGGGACACAGTGGGAACTCGGATCCGTTCCCGTCAGGCCAAGGCAAGGCCGAGACAGACACACCTTGCGAAGCCAGAGCTGCTGGAGTGTGCTGGGGCAGGAGGAAAGCATCGACTAGACCATTTTTGGCATTTTAACACAGAGACAGTAACAAGCGTCACAATAGCAAAA